CTGGCTAACTTCTGCACCGCTTATCTTGAGCCGCTCACCAAGGGCGTTGATTTTATCCATCAGATTGTCACTCATCTTGTCAGAGTGCTTTATCAGTCCAGATTACTCTAATTCTGAAGGCAAGTAAAGTGTGATGTTAGGAACTTAACATGGGATAACAAAGAGACGATTGTTATTAATGAACTGTGACTACAATCAGTAGTAATCAATCACATAGAGAAGGCAGTATACCTATATCAGCAAGCACATAGAGAAGGCAGTATACCTATGTCAACCCAAGATATTACTATTTTATTATGCAGGCAGGAGGATGTTAGAACCAGGATTGCTCCTTTGTTATACAGCTAGAGTTGTTTTTCACTATACTGTGATGCTGAATTATGGCCCTAAGGTTAGGAAAACGAAACCCTAGGTACGGTGATTCGACCAATAAGTCGTAAGGCCAGAGCACTTGGATTGGTTACAGAGTACTACATAGGGAATGCTCCAGTAATAATTACGATCGAATCCAGGAGTTTTGCCCCTGGCACAATCCCCTCCCTTTGACCCTACACCCTAGCCCTTAGATCACAGCAGCCGCGGCAGCAGCAGAAGCCATCTAAACTTTCTCCGGTTGCCGCGGCAGGCTTGGGGAAGAAATCATCATGACCTCTCTAATCACAGCGAGTGGGAGATGAGGGGAGGAGGAGGAGTGGATCCCACCTGAGTACCTCAGGGCCGCCGCACAGGATTGCTTCCTCCTCCACCACCGGCGCCGGTAAAATCGCCTCCCTTCCTCTTCACTTTTCCTTCGTGTGAGTCTCTGACCTCTCTACTCCGTACGCGCGTCGCCTCCGCGTCGAGTTCGAGTGCCTCTTGGTTTTGGGTCCGCCTACACCATCGTGCGCTAGCAGGGTTCTTCAAGATTCGCGCGGCAGCGGCCCAACGCACATTCCGCCCATGTTTTATTATATTAATAGAAGTGTGTTCGGGCGTTGCAATAAATTGAATGAGATGTTTATTAGCCAAGTCAAAATTAAAAATATATCAATTCAATTTTTCACGTGTATTATACCATGATAATATATAGAAACACATCTATTATTGTAATGAATCTGAAATAAAAGCTAGGTTCGAAGCTTGTTGTCTGAAAGTTACGACAATCATCAGTTGTCTTAAAGACTAAAAATTTATTGCTAGACATTGAATTGAATTTATCTATGCTCTCTTACCAAAACATGTATACTCGGACATATAATATCATAGCCCGTATGAGGCATAGCAATAATTCATTTTTTGAGAAAAAAGTATTTATTGTCAACACACAACGCGAAGGACGACGAACGAGATTTGGATCACGATCATGATCGTTGCGTGGTGATATTCCAATAAATTCCTTTCTCTTTCCATAATTCTCTTTCCGTTTTGTTCCATTTTATTTAGTTTTCTTTCAGTGTCTCCATGCGGTGATTATTTGTCTGCCGATGATTTCGTAAGTTTCATTCCATTTTATTTACTTGTCTTTCAGTGTTTCCATACGGTGATTATTTGTCTGCAGGATATGGATCGCATGAGATGCGGTGATTATTTGCCTGCTGGATATGGATCGCATGAGTGTTTTGGTCCTACCGCATAGATCTTGACAATCCATATGTTTTAGTTGTAGAGATTAGGGCAGTCCATACTCCACACTTGCCAGGTCATATATATAAATAAATCATATTCTCATTAGATGGTTTATTTAAAATATCTTTTAGATTTTATTCAATCACATATTTTCTCTTTTCTATTATCTAATTAAATATCACATCTCTTTCTATCTTAATTTTCATGTAGTATATAAGAAACTATTTTCTTCTTTCTTTTCCTTAATTCAAATGCTACATTGCCATTTTATTTAGTTGTCACCTAATTCATTGTTGTAGAAACCATTCTGGTACTGTTCGCTTGTCTTGTCAGCAGTATTTTTTTTAGCGAAAGAACATTATTTTTCTCTAATAACAAATTAGCGAACATTAATTTTTAGCTTGTCTTTTCAGCGAAGCGAACAGGGTAATTCTATCATGACCCATTTATCCCTAATATTAATACTCAAGCACAGGACTAAAAGAGGGTGGCTGGGGTAATATGCGTCTTTTGCCATGAAAGGGTCACTTTTAGCCCTCTTTAGCGTATCTTAGAGGGGCTAATGGAAAAGAAGTAGGCTAAAATTTAACTCCCACTTTTAGCCCTCCTATTTAGATTCATGAGGACTAAAAGATGACTACAAGGGGTAGGCTAACTTTAGCCCCATAGATCAAATGGGGCCTGAGATTACCCTTAGTCCAATCACAAGTTCCAACTAGTCTACTTGATCTAGCTAGATCTAGCGTAGTTTGATCAAGTTTATAAGCGTCATATGATATGGTGCGGTCTTTTAAATTATGCTTTGATCATTCATTTATTTTACTTACAGTTTTATATTTAACTATAAATCTAATAGTAAATTTGTATTTTAATAGTAAAAAGCCAAATTATTAGTTGGAAATTATAAAGTTTGAATCTTAACATACACGAAATGCTTTATAAACTGGATTGAAGGAAGTAGGAAGGAAGAAACGGTTTCCATAACATTTATTAGGTTGCCAATTAAATAAGTTGTTGGAGTGGCGAGTAAGTTAATAAGAGATAGAGAAATCGAGTCCTTTCCAAGATCCTATTTGACACAGCTTCTCCAGCAGCTTGTTTTTATTTCCAAATAAGTTAATATAAAATAGCTCTTAAAGCAGAGTTCCTTAAAATCCAGTCTCAAAAGTTTCTTAAAATCTAATCTCGAAAGGGACAAATGCTAGATGGAGCTGAAAATACTAGCTTCTCCTAACTCGATCTCCTGGATCTAGTTTGAGAGCTGCTGGAATTAGCAACGCAGGTAAACCTATCAACGGATGACACTAGCTTAGTGCAAAACTCTCTCGCGACCGCCGGCGATGAGTCCTAGTCCATGTGTATCTCCAACACTTAGGTTAACTTGATAACTTAAATCTAAATGTGTATATGTTCACAGTAAGCAATATAACTCGTTGAGCTACGCCCAATTCGTCATATTAAATTTTAGGAAATTCCATTACAGTTTGAACAGGTTATTGGGATTTTCCGAATTAAATTCGTAAGAAGTTTTCAGTTGCCTTGGCATTTCGAATTTGTATAGACCATTTTCTCGCCGTCGGAGTGTCGATTTCGTGACGCAGAGAGCACACGGACGTCAATTTCTACCACATCACGGTCCAAGGCCCGAGGGGAAAGAGCCAGCCAATGAAGATCCTCTCTCTCTCCTCTCTCACCAACAACGTGCGCTAGCGTGTGACCTGAATTAATGAGAGCACTTGGCCACTTGCTCCCGGAAACCCACCATGGAACGGAGACAATGCCGAGCCGAGTCCGAGGGAGGCCCAAACCCGTTGGGTTCGATTCCTTTGCTCTGCTCCTCCTCCCCAATTCCCCATGCTCCACCTCCGCCCCGCCGGCCAAACCAAATTCTGAAATCTGAACAGAGCGTTTCCGCTGCCGACCCCGAGCATTCCGCCCCATGGCCTCGCCTTCCTAATCGCGGGATTCGCCTCGCCTCGCTGGTTCGTCTCTCATCACTCCCCGTTCATTTCGATTCCCCACCCGGGATTTCTCCGCCGCATGGGTCTCAACCTCGATTGGATCGTAGGGTTAGCGGTCTCGGATTCGTGGGGTTATTGCTCTCGAACCTGCTTGCGGGGGTTCCACTTGGTCTTCTCTCTCTCGCGCGCGCTAGTGATTTCGACCCGTGTCGGCTCGCGAGAACATGGCGTTGGAGGAATGGCCGATAATGCCTCTTACTCGTTGGAGGCGGCATTGCCCAGTTTTTTTTTAGATCTTTCAGAATTTGTCAGTTAAAGCGATTCAATTCTCGGTGTTTTTTTAAGAACTTTAGCACTGGCGATATAAGCCTATAACTTGGTTCTTAACGCAGTGGTTAAATGATATATAGCCAGAAATAAGCATGATCAAATCTATAAACTACCAGTGTTTTGTTGTCCATTCAAACAATTTTTTCCTTCAAATGGAAAACATTTTTTTCTTTAACATTGCGAGTTTCTGTTCAAGGAATGCATGAAACCTGTAATTCTTGAATCCCCCTGGCTGAAAATGTTGTATTCCGATTCATGTTTCTGGTCCTTCAGTTGGACCCAACATTTTTTTTTCCTGAAACATACTTTTTGCATTTTGGTTAATACTAAAGATAAAGATATCCCTTTCAGTTATTGACTTTTCCGTTGAATTATTACACACTTTTTCATATCTGTAGTCCACCAGACCACCACTCTTGATTTGATCCAATGTGAAACCTGCCTCAAAAGCAAAGATTAAAGCTCCAACCTGACCCTCAAGCAAGAGCAACCTTTAAAGATGTCAGCATGCCACCCTTGATGTTGCTCTCCTCCACTATTTGCATCCACCTTCGTCTTCTCAACTAATATTCAATAGCATGCAGTAACATGGTGCCAACTTACAAGTACTCTCCTTGCCACAAGGTCCTTTTATTCGTTTTATCAAACCAATTGGCACTGTGCTTTATTGCTATTGTTTAATTATCGGTTACCTGCTTGTCACTTTCACTGCATTTTTAAACAGTTGTGATGCTGTTCTTTTGATGTGTTCTAAAGCATTACTTTCGAAGCTGGTGAGAAGCTTTATTCATGGGTCCTTTAGTTTCTAATGTGGGAAATTGATTTTCCTGCTCGGGAGAATCCATATAAATATGTTTGACCAATGATTTATGATCTAGGTGTTGTTTTATACTGTCTTGTGTATCAAATTGAATAGGATCTTTGCAGTGCTAGGAGCTCAGATCACTCAAGTTGTATCCTCGCAATTTAGCAAAGTGGAATGTTTTTGTTTTATTTTCTTTTTCATGAGTGCAAATTTCGATTGATTATATCCTCTTGATGTTTGTTTTGCAGCTTTTGGTTTAAAGCTGGCATTTGGTCTGAAGGTTCTGGCAGGAATCCAAGATGGGTGTAATCAGCACTGTTCTTGGTTTCACTGGATTTGGCTTTGGGTTCTCTGCTGGCATTGTTATTGGGTACTTCCTCTTCATCTATGTCCAGCCAGCTGATGTCAAGGTGGGGACCTTCCTTTTGTTCTTCTTTCATTCTTACCGTATATAATTTCAAATTTCTCCTGGCTGCTGTATAATGAATAATGGGATTGTTGATAACAGTTTTTCTAATATGTTTCCGAACGATCTGGTGACAATATGAGATCTTGCAGTTAAGATGAAACAAAGATGACTCAGTCATTGTTGAATGAATTTACTTTTTTCCTGTGCATCCCATCATTATCCAGTTCCTTCTGGTCAGCGTTGTTGACGTAAGGAATGAGTATTATGTACTTGTGAATTGTGATGAATGTTATCAAACTCTCTATAGATGCATCTGCAACGTGGCTTTCATGTCTTTTATACTTGTAGATAGGGATGAAACCGGATCGGATCCTGAATTCTGTCCCATATCCTGTATTTTATCCCATTTTTTTTCTCGGATCTCAGAACCGGATACGGATACGTTGGAAATTGATATCTGTCCCATAAACATATCAGAAATCGAATTTTAAGTATTCGGATTCTGGTACGGTAAGGATATTAAATGATCGGATTCAGATAGGGACTATCCATATAGGGTTTTTACCCTTTCGGGACGGACAGATATCGAGAAATATCCATCCCTACTTATAGAGCACCCCTTTTTTTTTTGGGGGGGGGGGTCCTCCTAAACTAAGGGCTACTTTGGAAACTCAAATCCTCTCTTGGGATTCCGTGCTTTTCCTAGGGTGAGCGATCCATGGGGATGTCATTTAGTTCTCTATGGCGGGACATTCCATCCTTGGGTTTGTCTCCCCCTTGCTTCCAAATTAGGCCTAATGTGTTGCCTAGTGATGGCACATGTTGCATGCACCCAGGAAAGGGCCATTTCATGAAGGAAAATGGAGGCCTGGAGGCCTAGACCCTAGAGAAATCATATGATGTGCAGTGTTTGTCCTTGACTTCTTTTCTCAGTGGTCAGTTTAGAGCTTATGCATTATTATGTGGCATGGTCTGTTTTGAGTACTTGCGAGGATATCATCAAGTCATTTAATCTGCTGAATTTTGTCATACACCATCTGTTTCTTTTTTGCTTGCTTCTGCTTGTAACGTATCTTCTATGTCTGAAGTCAAATTCAATAATATATGGGGTCATGGGGATGATTTTCTTTCTCCCTACTTTGTCAGGATGTCAAAGTTCGCCCTCTTGTGGAATATGATTCAAAGTCTTTGGAGGGCATCCTTCCTGAAATTCCATTGTGGGTCAAGAATCCCGACTATGATAGAGTATGCTCCTTCAATAAACTAGCAAGAAACTATATTGATCCTAGTTGTACCCTAAGATTCTCATTTTCTTCCTTGTCTCCAGATTGATTGGCTGAACAGGTTTTTGGAATTGATGTGGCCTTATCTTGACAAGGTACCTGCCTTTTCATTTGTTATGAGACAGAACGAGATCATTAGCTCTTGTTGACATTGAATTTGCTATGCTTTGTTTTTTTTTTAATCTTGTAGGCTATCTGCAGAACTGCACAGGATATCGCAAAACCAATTATTGCTGAGAATACTGCAAAGTATAAGATAGACTCTGTTGAGTTTGAAACATTTACTTTGGGTAGTCTACCACCCACCTTTCAAGGTCAGCAGTGTTGCATCCTTATGTTTCCCTTACATGTATATGTATGCATATGTATTTCACATAGTTTACTGTGAATTAGAATGTTTGTTAAATACAAAATATTGTGCATGACATGTGTGTCTTATATGTTGCTTCTTTATTTTCAGTAGTCAATTTAACCCTATTCGTAAAATAGTAGTGGCTCAATTTTCTATTACCGATGATACGATGTGGTCACGTGGAGACACTGTTACAACTGTGTTCCAGATGAGCTGCTATATATCGAGTTTACAATTGAACATTTCATTCCTTGGTGATATGTCATAATCAGTATGTCTTCTGCTTGGTTAGTCATGCTAATGTGAGAGACATATTAGTCCTTGGTGATATTGTGCATGACTTGTGTGTCCTATATGTCCCACGTACATTATATGTGAGAGAACTGACCCTGTTCGTACACAAGCTTATGTTAGATTTGCCTATATGTGATTCTAATTTTTACAACTGGTGTTGCAAAGATGTATATTAAACCAACCCATGTATTTTCCTTCCAGGGATGAAAGTCTATGTCACAGAGGAGCAAGAGCTAATAATGGAACCATGTCTTAAATGGGCTGCAAATCCAAATGTCACTGTTGTTATAAAAGCTTATGGTTTGAAAGCTACTGTTCAGGTATGAATTGTTCTTTCATAAGCTGGATTGGTAAATTGATCTTCAGTTAACGTATGCTGAATCGAGCCAAGTGGAATATTCTTTTTTTTGAGATATTTCAGATTGTTGATCTACAAGTCTTTGCATTACCTCGTATTACTCTGAAGCCATTAGTGCCTACATTTCCTTGCTTTGCAAAAATCCTTGTCTCGCTCATGGAGAAGGTATGGCGACTGATTGCAGGTGTTTGAATTATCTTGGTGCACCACTTCTATGCTAATGTGATTAATTTTGCAGCCACATGTTGACTTTGGGCTAAAAATTCTTGGAGCTGATGTAATGGCTATTCCTGGTCTTTACAGATTTGTTCAGGTATTCCTGACTACGGTTCCAAACATTCTCATGTGAAAGTTTGTCCATTTGTCACACTTCGTTGTGAACTAAATGTTTTCATTAAATTTTCTGAACATGGTAAAGGCTTAAGTTGCACTTCCATGAATGTTTTCTTTCTGAAAAGAAATTATAGATGGGTTATTACAAACATTTTAACATTCACATTAAACTATTAATATAATTATTTGGCATGTTCTTGTTATTTGCCTGCATGTATCTAAATGCATGTGCATCTGTGTGCCAAAAGCAGCATTGCTATGATTTGATGGTTGGTCACCTGGATTTAGACTTCAGTGTTATCCATCTGTAGTGTCAAGCCTGCTCTTTACTGCGGAAGTGCTGTGTGGTATCTAATTCACTCAATCACTCCTTTCAGTCCAGTTAGCTCCTTTTGTAATGCTTTCCTTATTTGCAGGAGACCATCAAGAAGCAAGTGGCAATCATGTATTTGTGGCCGAAGACGCTAGAAGTACCTATAATGGACCCCTCAAAGTAATTTTTAGCACTTTTTCTGTTTTGGTTTGTGTACATCAAAACCTAGATCTGATAACAGAGGAGTATTGCTAATGGTTTTCAAATTCCCAGAGCATCAAAAAAGCCTGTCGGAATTCTACTTGTGAAGGTTGTAAGAGCCCAAAATTTGCGAAAGAAGGATCTGCTGGGTAAATCAGACCCATATGTGAAACTTAAAATGTCAGATGATAAGCTTCCATCCAAGAAGACTACTGTAAAGCGCAGCAATCTCAATCCAGAGTGGAATGAAGATTTTAAGTTTGTTGTGACTGATCCAGAAAACCAGGCTCTTGAAGTTAATGTCTTCGACTGGGAACAGGCATGACTTGCTTTGTCCTATTTAAAGCTTCTGTAGTTTTCTTCCAACATATTAGCAAAGAATGTGCAGTTATTTTTGCTCTTACTTATAGGTTGGGAAACATGAAAAGATGGGAATGAACATGGTCCTACTGAAAGACCTCCCACCTGAGGAGACTAAAGTTACTACCCTCAACTTGCTTAAGACCATGGATCCAAATGATGTACAAAATGAGAAGTCTCGTGGCCAGCTTACTCTAGAGCTCACATACAAGCCTTTCAAGGAAGAAGATGGGGAGATAGAAGATCCAGAGGGTACCAATGTGATAGAAAAAGCTCCAGATGGTACTCCAGCTGGTGGTGGATTGCTTTATGTTATTGTTCATGAAGCCAAAGATCTTGAGGGGAAGCACCATACAAACCCCTATGCAAAAATAATTTTCAAAGGCGAAGAGAAGAAAACAAAGGTATTATGTAAACCAGTTATGCTTTATAGTTTCATGGAATGACTGTGATTGAGTTATCTCTTTATTTACCCTTCACCCCCTGTGCTAGGTCATCAAGAAGAATAGGGATCCACGATGGGAGGATGAATTTGAGTTTGTGTGTGAGGAGCCTCCTGTAAATGATAAACTACATGTTGAAGTCCTAAGTAAAGCCCCGAAGAAAGGGCTGATATATGGCAAGGTAGAATGGAATTCTTATCGTCTATTTAATCGCTAATCTACTGCACCTGGTGACCGTTAGCTATAAGATTAGTAATTTGGCTTTTTTTTTTTTTTTGGAACTGCTGCCCTGTAGTATGTAGAGAGAATTCTAACGTTGGATCATTTGAAGGCATAAATATCAAATATCTCTTATCCTGATGCCTGTATTTTGTTGATCCAGGAAACTTTGGGCTACATTGATGTCAGCCTTGCAGACGTGATCAGTAACAAGAGAATTAATGAGAAGTACCATCTCATAGACTCAAAAAATGGTCAGATCCAAATTGAGCTGCAGTGGAGAACTTCCTAGACAGGAAGAGCAAGAATGCCTGAATGTGGTATACATATGAATGTTCGTGTACTGAGTTTGCGGATACCTGTAATTGAGCTCAAGTAGATATTCCCTTTGTTTTCAGACATCTGTTGTTGAGATTTTTTCCCCTTTTTAATTGCTCAGATTTACTAGAAATACTATGTAGGCATGTTAGTGACCCCGGGAACGGAACTGAGCTTATTCTGTGACTGATGAGGGACAATACAAACACATTCTGGCATGTCGAGAATTCACAGCTTTACTGAAATGCTTCAATCCTAACGATGAACTTGCAACTTTCAGTGGCCAATTAGAATTCCTTGATCATATACTGGAAAAAGTGTGTAACATGCAATCATTTAGCCTGTATCACCTTCATGGAAAGATTTGGTTGCAATCAAATCTTGACAGAATGACAGCCCCATTGAGGTTAAGCCTAACATGCTTGTACAGTAAGGATAAAATTAAACCATGAAAGTGATCTAGATCTACTGATCTCTCTACTTCAAAGAGTCTAGAAACATGCTGAGTTTCATCTTTACAGAAGCCCCTGACAGAGGAGAAATAAACTACGGACATGTGCATCGCGCACTACACGTCCTTGTGTCCGCTACCTTTCTTCAGATAAAACCACCCCCACTGAATCTTTGTTAGTATATGTATATCCATCCCCCATCACAAGTTACAGGATAACGGATCAATCATCAAACTCCGAGCAACATTACAAAAGGACCCCTGAAAAGAACCGTGCCACTCGCAGTCACACTCCTTGATACCCGAAGAATCAGTCAGTAAGTTTACGTTAATTTTTTCCTAACAAAGCAGTTTTTTATTAAAATTCCAACACCAACACAAACCTGATTACTTTAAAAGGCACACATGTTCTACCGCCTATCTGTGTTGGATAAAGACAACATGTTCGCTCGTTAGTTTTAGGCAGGGCTTATCAGCTAGCCAACAGTGTTTTCCTCTCACAACAAACCAGCACCAGCCGGGCTTATCAGCCCAGAAACTGACCAGCGAACAGGCCGAGAAAGTCATTAGACATCCTTGCCAACTGTTGCGAAGCCAGTGCAACCAAAACTCATAAATACTTCTTGCAAAAACAATTCTATAAATATGACTTCTGAAGGATATTTTTTCGATAATGATACGGTAAGGGCATACGTCCGTCTGAACAAGCTCACCTGGACCTGTTGGACCAGCCCGACCTGCTCCTCCTCACGGTCCATCTAAAAATAAATAATGAACGCATTTCTCTTCCTCCTCGCCTCGTTGTGCAGTTTCTTCTCGTCGCCGCAACCGTGATGCCCGCACCGACCGCCGAGCCGCACTCCCGGCGGCCTTTCTCTATGTCCCATCTCCACTTCTCTCCTCGTGCCGCACTCTCCGCCTCCCCCGTGCCCTCCTCCATCCTCCATCTCCATCGCATCCAAGCACCGGTGGCTGCCTTCCTCCCTCTCCACCGCGCTCACCGACCGCCGTGCAAGAGAGGGGGCTATCGCTGCCCGGGCCCAGGCACAATTGGCCGCTGCCAGGTCGTGCCACCATCCGAGGCCGCCAGCTGGCCGGAACCAACCGTTCCCCGCTCTGCTCTGCGTCGCCCAGAAGAAGAAGGGTGAAATGCAAGCGTATGTTTCAAGTGTTTCATAGGTATGTTGCAAGTGTTTCATACAGATGTTGCAAAAGTAGATCGAGATGTTCCATATGTTGCAATGGTCGTACACGTATGTTGCAAGCTTCCGTTTTCAATGTCTCATCTGTTTTTAGACGCATGTTGCAAGTGTGGTTATCTGGATGTTGCATATGTTTTCACACATATGTTGCAAGTGTTTTATCTGGATGTTGTGTATGTTTGCAATGGTTTTCAAGAGTTTTTTGTGTGTGTTTTACAAGTGTTTCAGACGCATGTTTTAAGTGTTTCATCTTCAGAGTTTGTTTCAAACGTTGTATCTGGATGTTTCAAAAGTAGAACGAGTGTTGCACATGTTGCAATGGGACCCACTTTCCATAGCCACTAGCTACCGTTGCTGGGGCGCCGCAGAGCGGGCGCAGACGCCAGAGGGGGCACGAGCGGTCCCCGCATGTGGTCTAGCGGCACAGGCGACGTCCGAGCGGCGCGGACCCCGCGTGGGTGCGCTAAACGTAGGCACGACAGGGCCGTGCTGGCGTGCGGGCGAAGTGTAGGCGTGCAAAAAACGAAGTGCAATCGTGGGCGCCCGGACGCGCGTGTCCGTCTAGACGTCCAGGCGCTAGCACTACCGATATTTTTTATCGTGTTCCAAACAGGCCCTTGGAGACAGACATAGATGGACCGAGTGAAAGCCCTAGTTTGGTTTTGATAATTTATGAAACCTCAAGTGTACTAAGCATTGCTCTAAAGTGTATATGAGATAGGATTGGTACACACCAAGTGAAGGAACAAATGAATGGAGATCATGATGGTGGTGATGGTCATGGTGATGATCAAGTGCTTAAAGCTTAGAAAGAGAAAAACAAAAGGCTTAAGGCAAAGGTATAATTGTTAGGAGCCATTTTGTTCTGGTGGTCAAGACACTTAGAGAGTGTGACCACGTTTAGGATAAATAGCCATACTATCAAGAGGGGAGAATCTCAATCAAAACGGTTATCAAGTGCCACTAGGTGAAGTGATTCATGTATATGCATTAGGACCTAGTGTGCTAACCAATTAACCTTTGAAAATGCTTGTGAAAATTCTAACACACATGCACTATGGTAAGACACTTTGTGGTTGGCAATATAGAAGCAAGAGTGTTGAGAAAGGAGTTGAAAGCGCTGGTCATGGGGTGACCGGGCGCGTCCGACATAGGGATCGGACGCGTTTGGTATTTAACCCTAGGCCTGGGCAGAGGCGCTGTGTTGACCGGACGCTGGGGTGCATCCGATCGGCAGCGACCGGATACGTCCGGTCTGCTCTAGAACCTCTCAGTAGCGTCATGTCCGGTCTAAGCAAGGAGACAACGCAGCTTCATGTGACCTAACGCAATGTGACCTAACGCAGTGTGCTCTCTGGGAGCTCTCTGGACTCGACCAGACGCTGCCCATGGTGCGTTCGTTCGTTTTTCTTCGTCGCGTCCGATCTTTCACTGACATACGCGCAGAAAGAGCCATTGGGCGCCAACGACTATACGTGGTCGCTACACGGGACGCGGTCGATCAGTACATAGAAAGCCCATGAAAGGGTATAACGGTTCTATCTTTTAGGGGCTCTATAAATAGAGCTTGGGCGTGTTTTGCTCACCCTCTTGGTCATTCTTACATGTGATAGCATCCTTTGAGTTGGGCAAACACCCTCCCACTCACTATCGGTGTTTCGAGTAAACACCAACTAGTAAATTTGTATTATTGCGCGTTAGGCCCGGATGGTGTGCTAAAAAGACACAAGGTTTATACTAGTTCAGACAGAATGTCCATACGTCTAGTTCGTGATGGCTGCTTGTGTTATTTGCACTGAAAGGGTACAAATGGGCGAGAGAGAGATAGATCCCAAGTCTCTGATGGAAAGGTCGAACGGATGCTGAGAGCTTGGATGCTGCTTAGCTATGTGGAATTGATGCGTCCCTTTAGTGGGGCGCCCTACCTTCCTTTTTATAGATCAAGGGGGAGCAGGGATTACAGATGGGAGAAAGAAGAAAAACCATAGGCAAAAAGGTCCTTCGAAGGTGCCGGGTCTTCCTTTTCCTTTGAGCCTACCCTGTTGACATGGTAGATGGTGCTAGGGATAGCACGTTCGTTGATCCAGATAGGGCCGTGCTCTGGCTTCGTTCAGCAAGTGGTCACGTCCCATCTCGCCCCGACGGGCGGCACGACGCACCAGGGTGCCGAACCGTGACCCTACAGGGAGCAGACGGCGTAGAGGCCCCACAGTCGTTACTGTAGATGACATGAGTTTCTTCCTGGACCGTAGTGGTTGTCATATATTTTTGTCAGGATTCGTGTTCGAAGGAAAATGCTGGCACCCATAACACTGTACGACAAATGTCGACGCCCACAACACTGTTTGGGTTCTCACATGCCTAGAAGGGCTTAAAGCGCCCGTCTGGTCATATCCTGATGGTACTTTCCTGCAAGCGTGCAGGGTATGGTCCTCGGTATTGCGGTTGACTTGAGTGTTGAAAGCTCTAGTTTGGTTTTGGTTAATTGATGAAACCCTAAGTGCTAACCTAGTTTATCAAAGTGATTATGAGATAGGTAGCACTACTCCAAGTGATGAAGAAATGGCAAAGATCATGACGATGGTAATGGCATGGTGATGATCAAATGCTTAAACTTAGAAAAGAAGAAAGAGAAAAACAAAAGGCTCAAGGCAAAGGTATAAACTGTAGGAGCCATTTTGTTTTAGTGATCGAGACACTTAGCGAGTGTGATCACATTTAGGATAGATAACCGTACTATTAAGAGGAGTGAAACTCGTATCGAAATGCTGTTGTCAAAGTGCCACTAGACGTTCTAACTCATTGCATATGCATTTAGGATCTAGTGGATCACTAACACCCTTGAAAATGTTTGTGAAAATATGCTAACACATGTGCACAAGGTGATACACTTGGTGGCTAGCACATTTGAGCAAGGGTGAAGGAGATAGAGAAGAAAGGAACTCAGTCTCACTGTTTTCACTGTGACCGGATCTGGTCTTGGGTGGACCGGCGTGTCCAGTCAGGCGTGGCAGAGAAGACGCCAGTGTCGGTGATGCACCGGACGCTGGGTCGCTCGACGACCGGACGCTGAAGGGCTGCATCTGGTCAAGTGGTCGGTCTGCACAGTGCTTAGGGTTAAGCACCGGACGCTGGGCTGTGTCCGGTCAAGATGACCGGACGCGTCTAGTCGATAAAAATTGGTTTTGGACCCTTACTGGAAACGACCGGACGCTGAGGGTCTCAGCGTTCGGTCAACTGACCGGAGCGTCCGATCGGTCAAGGCAGATGACCATTGGAGTCAGACACGTGGCTGACTATGAGCGACCGGACGCTGGGGGC